AAAGGAAATAATGGCAAATATGTGTAAAATAAAATATGTTTTTTTGTTTGTTTGTTTTTTTTGTAGATTCTTACTATAATGCTCCTTTTTATTGCCCAACTGAACAAACCTAACGATTTAACAGCGTCTGCAGCATTTCTAGCATTCGTCTGTTATTCGAGCACAGCTGAGCTCCTCCATTCTCTGCAGCTTTGCCATCTTTGCTCACCGCATTGCCAGTGGCTCGCAGATAAGTGCTCGGACCGGAATCACCTGGACTGTCACACATTTAGGCAGCAGACAGACGGTTGGCACTTTACGCACTAATCGCTCCAACAGGACTGCGCAAACGCGATTTCGAGCTTCATCAGGTGGATGGAAACGACGAGACTGCTTCTTTATTTTGACTCGGCTTTGTAAGAACGTGATTTGTATTTTTCCTAGACATTCATGGGTGGGTTTTCATACATTTCCCCTCTCTCTACACTGCAGACTGTGTCTCCAGCAGCAGACGTAATCACCGCTGTGTGACTCCAGCAGCATGGGAGGAGACTGAGTTGATAAACGTTCTGCCAGCAGACCTTGATGTCAGTTCACTCCCAGTTGCCTCTCGGACTGTCCACAATCGAGTTTATGCGCAAAATGAGGTGGTTTGTCTTCATTTGTATTTGGCTCACTGGAAATTTTCAACCAGTCCTCAGTGGGCGTTTGGAAGAAACACCGACTCTTGGAAATACTAAAACGAATCCCAGAGTTCTCAGCAAAGGTAACGTCTTTTCTTGCTCGTAATGATTTGGTTACTCTGCAGTTTTTATTTATTTTTAAGACCAGTATCCTAAATCAGTCATGGTGTCCAGACACCCTGTAATCCCCCGTAAGCTTGTTAGTTCAGTGGAGGTGCACCAACTTTTCCCCCCACAGGCGATGAGCAGGTCACACAGTGATGTTGGTGCACAAAGCAGTCATTGACAGTGTTCAGTGTGACCTTCACTAACATCCTCCCAGCTCTGAAATATGATAACGTGATCCCTTGTTTATGTCCACAGATGTGTTCAGTGGTGGGTTTAACTACCAAATTGATCAAAACCACACAGTGTTCCTTTATGAGGAGGACTCACAGGAACTGTATGTTGGAGGGACTGGCTTTGTGTTCAGGATTGATGCCAGCAATTGGACTCGTGTTATAGAGGTGGGTGTTTCTGGACTAAATTTCTCTGTGATTCATTTTATCAGCTTCAGCACATGTACTGTCCGCATGATTTCTTCTGATGTCCCCTTAGCTTGATTTCTGTGCAGATCTTGCCGTTTGTGATGCAGCTGGGATTATAATTAGATGCTACTGTAACAGATGGCTGTCACAGACCTATTGTTACATGGACCCTGTCTGCCAACACCCTCTGACTGATATGGCCTTGTGAAAAACACTTAATGTGCAGCTTGAAGCTGCTGATTAACTGCTGATGAAGAACACACAGCACAGATAGACAAAAAAGCAATTTCTATAATGTAATAATGTAGAAAATTCACGTCAGAAAACATTTTCTGAATGAGTGATGAGTTAATGAATTGACTGTAAGGCAGCATAGATCTTCATTTCACTAATGGGTAGTAGTCTGTGGTAGGAGCAGCTGAAGTGATTTCAGTAGAAGTCATTATCTTGAGTGAGCCTAAGAAAGTAAACCTGAGATAAAACATTTAAACAGGCTGTCAAATTTTTGATCCTCCAGATATTTAAAACATTATGCAGTGGCCAGAATCATATTAATGTGGAGGAGCTTCAGCAGCAACATTCCTCATTGGTTAGTCGGTGATAAAGGCTGTTCAAGGTGTTCACTTCCTCCTAAAAATGTTTGATATTAAACTCTACTGAGGTACAAACTTTGTTAATTTGTCTATCAACTGTCTCCGGCAGAAATTTCCTCTGAAAACAACGGGGCAGGAGCAGTGCCAAGAGGTGAGTGACTAAAGAAAGATGTATATAGAAATTGTGGGATATTAAATGAAATGTAAAATCAGTTTTGTGTAACAATGGCTTCTCTTTTGTAGGGTCCCTGTGAAAATGTCGTCACTGTGATTGAGAAGTTTCAGGACAGCATGTTTGTCTGCGGAACAAATGGACAGAATCCACAGTGTTGGGAGCTTGTGAGTGTCTTGAGTGTGTTAATGTGACATCTGTCTGACACACTGCAGTTTTTGTGACTGGTTAATTTTATTGGCGGCAGCAGAGCAAACCTCATTAAAGAGTGGCGCTCGTGTGGGTTCTGATTAAACTTTAATTGAGCACCCTGCTTTATAATTTAAGTAGGGGTTTGGGTGTCTGGTGGTTTATTTTTTCCATCCCAGCTGTCAAGAAGTAACGTCACAATATTCTCCCTGCAGTTTCCTTCAACGACCAATCAGTCCCAAAAAATAGAGGAGAGTTACGACGGGATCGGTATCTCTCCGTTTGTCTACACACAGAACTCTCTGCTACTCACAATCGGTACGTCATATACAGCTTCTTGCATAACTGTAAGACTGTGTTTTGACATAGGACTGCATGCAGAATTATATAACCAAATCGAGTCACATGCGATGAGCTGAGCCGGCGAGCTCGTGCATTTTCATAAAAATCTGCTTAATATTTGAACATCTTTGCTCCTTTTAATGTGATGTGTCCCTGCTATTTTTAGATGGGGATATATACGCAGCAGCACCTTTGGATGCTGATGGAAGCTCTTTGCAGTTCAGAAGAAAAGCTGGCAGCAGAACTAATGTCTGGATGTATGACAGCTGGGTCTCAGGTGTGTAAACTACACTGTAGTTCATTAGCAGGATGAGCAGTGCAGCGTAAACTCATTAGTGATGTGACAGCATTAAATGTCAAATGTGCGTCATGTGTTTGTTTCATGTGCACAACCTGCGTTCAGATGATGCGTTCGTGTGATTTAATCAGATGTTTTTTTTGCTAAATGTCTGTCCAGCCCATAACTCACCCTGTCCACTTCTCAGCACTGTGTAATTATCTTTAGTTTGCTTTGTCGTGCCAAGGCTTTCACGTGTTGTCTGCTTGTACCACACTGCAATTTAAACAGTGGGATGATTTGGTAAACACGTCTTCCTCTCCCAGAGCCCACGTTTATCTCCGCATCCTGGGTACAGCGAAAGGATGACCGAGACAATGAGAAGATATACGTCTTTTTCCGTGAGAAGAACTCCGACCACAGCCCAGAAGCCGACCCCTGGATATCTCGTGTTGCCAGAGTTTGTAAGGTAAGGCGGACACTGGAGAAGGCTTACGCTACATCCCCAAAGCTCATCTGGAAAGACTGCTCACTTCCCGTAAACCTCTTTAGCGCAGCTTTAGTAATTAAGCTAACAGCTATTGAAGTCTTGCTCATGTAACATGGAATGTGGATTCTAGCTGGTAAATTATGTAATTTAGAGATTAAATTTACAAAAATAAGTCAGATTGCTTCAGAGCAGTAATTTTAGCTCATGAAAGGATGCAACCATCAAAATGTGACAGCTTGAGTCACTTGAGTCAAATTAGGGATCTAGATTATTTTTTATAGCGCATGTGGAGTAGGAGCATGAGTTGACAGGCTGAGATGATTGTGAAAGTTTAGATCACGTGTACCTTTGCGGACCATTGCTGCCACTTGGACACAGAAGCTATGAATTGACTCTTCGGTTCAACAATAGATGTAATTCTAAAGACTAACATTACACCAACTTCATAGGAACCTAGTTTAAGCAGATAGTAGATGTTAAAGTTCCTTCTGCTGCTGAGGGTCAAGAATGAATTGGAAACCGCATGAAAATTGAAAGATCAGAATCCGAATCCTTTAATGTCATTATACGAAAAAAAAAGTACAAGGATTCTGATTCTGATCTTTTAATTTTCATACGGTTTCAAAGGACACATTGACATCTTTGCACATTAATGGAAAGAGGACAACTTAAAAGTGTTCATTCATTAGATTTGACATAATTTATGTAGCATTTGCTTAATTAAACTGTCAAATGTTGCTATTTTGATGGTATTGAATATAAATTAAGCCCAGTAATTATTTATTTTTCAGATTTTCTTGCCCAGCATCACATTTCAGTCTGATCTACTTTCTATTAGAGTGAACAGACGTTGAATTGTGGGACGGTTTAATACAAATTGTCCTATCAGGGTGTCTGCTGTTCCTCCTACAATAACCCCTTTTAAGTTTGCTACACAAAGGAGACAGATTGCCACCATCTGTTAAAACAGTCTACTTTGATGCAGACTTTAATCTTTGTTTCTTCTAGGAACAGCGTTTAAGGTCAGCCACTATTTACAGTTTAATTAAGTGGAGTGTGGTGACATGTTGGTATGTACATTCTGAAGGCTGCCGTCATGGATAAATATTATATGACTTCATAGGAAATTATTTAGTCCCACTATAATTAAAAAACCCCAAACAAACAAAGGGTAATTAGAAGTATATTGGGCAGAGTGATGTGCTGTGTGGGTTTGTGTTTACCAGGTCATGATAAGCATACATATAATTAAAATATTTGAAAAGGTTGTATTAGAGTGGTAATACAACCATCTGCTGCAGTGCAGTCTTATCGTCGGCACCAATACAAACAAATCAGACTGCATTTTCTTTGATTAGCTAACCTGGCATGCTGTTCCTGCGGTCAAATAGTCTTTACAGCACCCTTGTTTGACATCTGTACAAAACAGTACTTGCTCTGAAAGCGGTTTGGTGTTGAGTTCCAAGCATCATGGTGGGTGTAATGTCAGCACTATCAAATAACCCTCAGTTGTTGAATTTCAAGCAAAATGAAAGAGCATCGTTCTCATGTAATTTGTCTGTGTCACTTCCAGGTAGATGAAGGCGGATCAAAGAGATTTTTCCAGAACATATGGACGTCTTTTCTCAAGGCTCGGCTTGTCTGTGGGTTTCCAGACGAGTCCTTGTATTTCAATCGTCTCCAGGACATTTACGTGATGCACGCTGAAGACTGGCGCGACACCAGGGTTTATGCCCTTTTCACAAGCAGCTGGTTAGACAGTTTCCCTTCCTGTTTTTTTTGGTCAAAAACTAAGCAACAAGTCAAGTAAAACACTGACAGCAAAGCTCCAAAACACTGGAGCCCCAAAACAAAGTTGAGCTCCAAAAGCAACAGATAATTCCATCACATACTGTCAGTAATGTTTTTGCCAAGGGAGCTGCCCTTGTACCACTCCCATGGTCTCAGCAGTAACTGATGTGATTTTGAATTTTTGTTATTGCAGCTATGATGACATCTTTGCCAACCTCAGTTTTCTTTTTTCTCCTCCAGGAACTCCACAGCAGTTTGCATCTATTCAATAGCAATGATTGAAAGCATATTTGAAAATTCAACTTTCAAGGGCTACAACAAAGACATGCCCAGACTGAGGCCAGGAACGGTAAGGCTTTGTTTTGTTGCTATGTTGTCTTGCAGAGATGGAGAACTTCCTCTAAAAGATGTATTTTTGCATTTCTATTTGAGTCCACCAACATTGCATGTTGGCAGTCCATTATACATCATGCGCCTCATTACATCTACAGACAAGTTACATAAATGGGTGGAAACGTGGAAAATGTGTGTCTGATTGCATGACTTCACTACGTATATTGTTTTCATCTGCAGCTGGAGAAATTGTAAATTCTCACATGAAGTCACTTTGAGTTCAGCACCGTTGCTGTAGAGCTGAAGAGGCCAATGAATGGACTGAATGTTTGCAGAATTTCCTACCATTGTAACAAACAATTCCAAGACCCTTTGACAAACACCTCCTGTTTGCCTCATATTCTGCTTATACCTTAAGGAAATGTTTGTCTCTGTTTTGTTTTTGCACAACTGTGAGTGCTTTCGGTTTTGTATAGCCTAACTGCAGTGTCCTGCAAACATTCAGCTTCAGTTTATGGAGGTTACGGAATGCAGATTGGTTTTAAGCAAAGGGATCTTTATGTTTGCATGTTTTTCAGTGTGTACGGAACAGCAGGAGTCTCCCACAGGCCACTCTAAACGTGGTGAAGGACTACCCAGAGATGACAGATTGGGTTTACTCCCTGCATTATACAGCGCCTTTTTATGTAAGCAGCAACAACTACACGAAGATTGTTGTGGACAGAGTCCAAGCCGCAGACCAGCACATGTATAACGTTCTGCTTCTAGCCACAGGTATGTCACAGCTCAGTAAAGATATACAATTCAACATATGGTCCGTCTTCAGTACTTTGCTCTGCTGGTAGAGCCTTGTGTGCTTTTCTGTTCACTTGGCTTGTAATCATGCATTGTCTTTTATCTCTGCAGGAAACAATTGGCTTAAAATACCTGCAGTAGGAATCCCAAAATAACAACAGCTCAAACTTGTCTTCTAACAGATTCTGGAAAGATCCATAAAGTCTTGGAAGCGGGGCCAGAGCCTTTCATCATCTCTGAAACACACCTCTCCAACAGTTCGACCATACAAGCAATGAAGCTGGACTCTAAAAAGGTATGGTGCATTTTAAATGCCATTTCCAGATGTGATGTGTGCTGCAGCATCTGTTACTCCTCTCAGGCGGATGTTTTTTTTAACATAAGTGAAATCTGAATTGCATGTACATTTCAAATCTGCTCTTAATAAGTATTTTACAATAAGAATGGCCCAAATGAATAATGGATAATCCAAAAGGTTTGGCGCATAGTGATGAATCCCCACAGAGTCATTATTTCACCTTGCTGTTTTTTCAGCTTTGCCATGCATATTTTCAGTATCTGCAGAGCTAGTTGTGGCGCAACTACAAAAGCAACCATCAAGCTGCATCTGGACGCTGTTTTCTGCTGATAAGCACATTCATGTCCTCTTGCCAAACACTGACAGGACCATGAACCTACCAGTCAGACATTTCACTCTGAAGCTGGTGGACACGAAAAGCAAAGCAAGAGAGAATCTAGTAGATGCATCATGCAAAAACAAACTTTAGCTTAAATCCAAATGAAGTTTTTAGTTCCTCTCTATCTGCTGAATGTGTAAAAAGGCAACCGTTTCCTAACATGTTCCCCAAAACAGCAGTATAAAGTGACAATATCAGTTTTGTGTTTCCAAAAATCAATTAAAGTCAAATCCTTTTTGTCCTCCTTTGCTCAGAAAATGTTGGTTGTTGGTTTTTCGGAGAGGATCTCTACTGTGGACCTCCGGAGATGCCAAGACTACAATAACTCCTGTGCAGATTGTGTTCTGGCCCGTGACCCGTACTGTGCATGGACGTCATCTGGATGCACCTCGACTGTCCCACAAATGTAAAAAAAAACATTCTTATCAACACTTTGCCACCACAAAACCTTTTTCTGTTACATTCAGGATGATTGAAATAGCTGCTCTCTTGAGAAGAAAAGGGACAAATATCACAAAAGTTACTTTTTTGTGTTCACAGTGAGGGCATTCAAAATATCATGGATGGACAAATAAGTGTGTGCTCTGCAGCGTTAAAAGGTAACTATTGCTGAGACGGTTATCATTCCCACTATACACATTTCACAACATATTTGGTCACATCTTGACTTGATCTTCACTTCTTTCTTTCTTTCTTTCTTTCTTTTTTTTTTAGATCAAAAGGCAGCGAACCGGACCAAACGGGAGACAGCTTCACCATCAGAAGTGAATTTGAGGACGGTTCATTCAGTCCCTCAGGGTGTCCCCTTCTATCTGTCCTGCCCAATAGACTCCTACCACGCTGAGTACACCTGGGAGTACGGAGGCCGGAGCAGCCCATGTCTGCAAATGCTCTCCGACTGTCTTCACCTCATCCCCTCCATGGCACCAGAGAACTATGGAAACTATGAGTGTGTTTCCAAAGAGAAAGACTACACCAAAGTGGTGAAAAGATATCAGCTTACAGAGCAAATAGTCCCAGAAGAAATGACATGGAGACGCCATATCCCTTACAGAAGGAACGATGCATCAGCTCTCGTTCCGCGAATATGGATCGCACTAACCCTAACAGCTTTAGCAGTGTGGGAAATTTTCAGATAGAGTCGTATTTCAAATCGGAGCATTTATGCTCTTAGGCCCTTTGTCCTTTTTGTTGCAAGCAGGATGGAGGCAGGGCTGAAGGAAATCCACCTCAACAACAGTGAAGCTTGCAGCTGAACAATTCAGACAGGAGTGCTCCTGCGGTGAAGTTAAACCTTTGTTTGTGCTTCCCTTAACACTACAGTGTTTGACAGAATAGCAAGGTCTAAATCAACAGGAACCCTCCATGGCCAAGTTTTTTTTTTTTTTTTTAAAGAGATGCCAGAACAGGAGGCAGTTGGGTGTGATGGAGGAAGAAAGCAGCACAACTGGTCAGCGGCGGAACACAGCTTGAATGATCTGAGGAGTTCTAGCTTGTTGGTTTTTGTTTCGATCAGCCAATTGTTAGTCAGAGACCTCCTGCGTGAAGCACTGCAGCTGGCTGTGGGCTGTGCTCATCCTCCTTTGAAAACAATGAAAGAAAAAGAAGGTGTAAGAAGCAATCGTGAGAATTCCTTTCAAAACAAGGACCACAACATTCAACCAATGAACCCATATACAATGTTTTGATCCTAAAGTGGGAAAGCTTCTTGTCAGACAGCCACAGTGGTTTTGTTGCAGTGGCAAATTGGGATTCCTGCTTGAGGCATGCAGAGGGGCCAGCTCTTGGTTCAGTGGTCCAGTGGTCCACATTCCAGCCCACTGATGACAGCTTATTTGTATTCGATGGTTCAGGAAAGGGTGGAGGTAGCAAGAGACCTTCACTGAATTTTCCTGTATTTTTTTTTCCCAACCCCCCTCAGTAACAGTCAGTGCTCACAGAACTGTTTGAAAAAATGTGGAATGAAAATGTTTTTCAGTTGCAGAGCACACTGTGTGTGTGAAGAGTGGATGTGTTGACCTCAAGCTGCCCTTGATGTAGCGGATTCGAACAGATCGTTGTTGAAAGTGATTATTTTGACTTTGCACATTTGTCCTCGACATTTTGAATGACTCTACTTTTCTAGCCAGTTATTTATATGAGAGAAAACTTTGTAGCTGAAGTTGTAGGGTAGCCATTGTTTGCCACAAGTGGCAGTTACGAGGTCAAAGTAAATGCAAGAACATTGTACACAGAAGTGACTTAATAATGTAGATTAAAAGCAATAAATCACAAATACTAGCTAACATTTAGCAACCAAAAGCTACTAATAAAACCCCCAAGTGTACCGACCTGAGCAGTTGTGCCGTTTATACTGCTATTAATTCAGTTCTTCATTTGTATGTGACTGAAATGGTTATTTATTCTTTCAAAAGTTACACAGTCTTAATAATAATAATAATAATAATAATAATAATAATAGTCTCAAACACTGCTCTGAACATTTTTTTTAACTACAGAGATAAATTTATTTATTATGTAACTTGTATTTTGATATTTGATATTGAGTTCTACTTTTATACTGAAATGTAATAGGTTTAAACAATGTATAATTTCAAAAGTTTTTTTTTTTTTTTCTATAACGATTGCTTGAAAATGCAGAATGAGCAAGACTGGCAATTGATGGTAATAAATTAATAAATATGTATGTATCATTGATTTCCCAGTTTTGAAAAAAGAAGAATAAAACTGAAAATCCATTGCTTACAACGTGTCATAGTCATGTTTCTCTTAAGGGCTGTTACGGAAGAATCTTAGAGGATTGTGCCTTAATCTAATGTAGGACCCTGTAAACTAACCGCTTTGGATCGCATTGGATAAAAGTCGCTTTGGATAAAAGTGCCTGCTAAATTAAATTGTAGAAACAGAGTTCAGACAGGATGATAAGAATCTGTAGTTTTTTCTGTTTTATCCCTGGATCTAAACCGTCAACACTAATGAGGACTGAGTGAGGAAATCCTGTTCAGATAAAGAGAAAAAAATCACTCATTTGTGTTCTGATTTTTCCCTCTGATTAACCAATCATGGTTTCAAAACTTCATGAGAATTTCCGTGTTGTTCAGACTTCTTCCCACACAGCTCTGGGATAAACATGAGATAATATGTACACGGGGCTGCAAGCTGGCGCAGTTGGTTAGCACTGTTGCCTCGCAGCAAGAAGGTCCCCAGTTCGCGTCCCGCTGAGGACACCCGGGATCGTTCTGCGTGGAGTTTGCATGTTCTCCCCATGTAGCGTGGGTTCTCTCCGGCTTCTTCCCACACAGTCCAAAAACATGTTGAGGTTAATTGGTGAT